CATCTCAGCAAATTCACTTAGATCTGTCACAATAGGTAAGCCGAATGTACCGTTTTATGCGTCATCGCATGATGTATATTTTTACATAAATAGTGTACTTTTAGAATGTTAGAGGTAGTTGAGAGGAAACTCTGGTTCTAGGTTCCATATTTTGTAACATTCATTAACAATGTGTACCTGATGGATCGATGACGTGTCATGTAGCTTCACAGTCTGAAATGTTACTAATGAGTTAATCGGTTGGTAACTGACCTCCTGTTAGACTGAAATAATTTTAATCGCTTGGTCACTTCCCAATAAATAATTGACTGTGTAATGCACTATGTCCATAACCTCCTCCTCTTTCAGTAGATACTGCCATGCCACTATGTGATATTGTGCTGTGTGCTACTGATGTCGACAGATATAAGTAGTATATATCATCAATCGAAAGTTAAATGCCTGGCGGCAGAGGGTTTAAGAAGATCGAAGAAAAGAGAATAAGTACAGAATGATTGGTGTGGAATCGGAGGAACAATCAAGTCTAAGACGATTGATCGACATTTTTCAAATGAAGTATTTACCGTATGGTTCTCAGATTTTGCTAAGACGTTCCATAATTTTGTAGTCAAATGCATCCGATTGTCCACCCTTGTGTTGTCGTTCACTACATTTGGTGTCGCTGCCAACCAGGAGGTGTGGAAGGGTGCTGTTCAGCGGACTCCGTTATGGATCAGGAGCTGAGGTGCCAGTTGGGGCGGTCTGGTGCATAGAGGTTCTATTTATTTATTTTATTTAAACACATAAACATTGGTACAAGGAGTTGCCAAACAAATATGCACCACACAAATCATTCGATTTGTGTGAGGGCTGGGATACTACCCGGGTGCTGTTGAAGTGCGGGTGCTTGGCGGACATCGGATGTAGATGGCTCGAAAGGTCGCTGGAGCGCAGGTGTTGAACGTCCCATGTGCTGAGTGTACGTCGAATTTCGATTGTCCGGCAGGTCAACGCGCCACAGACTCGACATTTTGATGGGGAGCGTGATATAGACTGCAGAAAAGAATAAAGTAACACGGCCAGCAGAACCACCGTAAGAACGACTGCTTTGAAGGGAGACGAGTGTGTTGTGTACTGCTGATGCCGATAGATATAAGTAGTATGTATCATCGTTAGGTTCGTCAATATTCTTCAGTAAGTGGAGTTACTTTGTCTGTTTGTTGGGCCGGTCATTTCGTGCTAGAGTTTGTAACTACTGGTTATGACCAAAATTCACTATTTCAAAATCATATATTTCAACACTCAACTATTATAAAATTTGACATTATATATTTTAATGTATATTTAAACCTTATATTGTTTTTAGTTCATCCTTGGCTAAGAAAATATGAGAACCGTTGAGAAAATTGATCACCTCTTCTCTTTAACAACTAAAACTTATTGTATTACGGGTTTTGCTATTTGGATATGGTTTATTTTCTAACCATTAAAATGTATTGATTCTTCTTTTTATATTTTCCAATATCAATTCATTTGTTTGCGTTTTTATTTGTTTTCCTCCACTATTTGTTAGTTTATTTCAAGTTTTGTTCTATTTTAAATGAACTCTATTTGTGTATGTATTTTTTTATGGACTTTTGTGAATTGTCATTCACCTTGGTTTCCATTAATGCTTGTTCATTTATTGTATTTAAGTATTTCTGTATAAGAAACTAATTAGCTATAAATATTTTTCGGAACTATTACTATGTTGTTTCACGAAAATATTGAGCTTTGTGATGATATTAATTTATTACTAAACGATATTTGTAGTGATTGTCGAATAGCTTAGTTTACATCATTGGCTGATCTTAGAGAATGATTGTAAACCAGGAAGCACGGAGTAGCTGTTTCATATTAGTATAAGACTTTTCAGCAATGCGCATTCACGATCATATTAAGGATCAAGCAAAAAAAAGTCAGATCTCATGACGAGTGATTAACCGTTAGACTACTGAGAGTTGGGATCCAGTGGTTTAAATTTCCAAGTCCCGTCAATTCGTAATATTGCATAGCTATCTTTCAGTTCTGTTGATAGGTATTTAGCTGCCTCATCTGACTTAATTGAACTTCACTAACTATGTTTTGTCATTAGATCTCTTATAACTACTTTTCAGAAGTGGTCACTACATGGTTAATAATTTCATTGTTTATCTGTAGATTTTTTCTCTACTAACAATGTAATTGACATGTTCGTATCGTTTCTTGTACATAAAATTGAATTTCTGATAATATTGAACTATTTAGCTAGTTTTTAATTTCTAGCTGGTCACATTCTCTAGTAGTATTAGAATAAATTGTTTTTAACCAGCACTTTTGAAACTTGACATTATCTGTCTATTAAACTAATTGTTGTCATAAAAGAGTATGTCATTTATTTTATTCACATTATTTTATTTTACTTAAATTGTTTATGAGTAATTTGTTTCTACAAATATGTAATATTATTCATTATTCATGTGATTAGGTCGTTATGTATTCTTGTGAGATTGAATCAATAAATTTACGTCCAGTTTGATATGAATAAACTAACATACCTTAGGTAGAATTGTTTTCATAGCGAACAGAAAAAAACAACAACCTCTTATACATCTTTATGTGGAATGTTTACTTTTTCAGATTCATGTGATGATTTATTTTATGTTGATTTACATTAGTATGCATTTTCATAGAAGTTACTTTTTATTTCTGTTTTGAATGCACTTTCAATTACGATTTTATGAAAGAATTTTTGAATGATTGAATTTCTACAAGTTGGTACACTATTTTTTCTCACTAATAGGGCATTCAGTTCAAAGTTTAACGGTCTGGTATTCGTAGACTTCATAATTTTTTTAGTAACTTATGAATACAAAGTACAAAAACTTTAAATTCAAGTTTTGAGTATCATAAATTGTATGTAAATTTGATGAAAAACCTAAAAAGAAGCCTAATCCCACAAATGCCCTGGTATGGCCGAGTGTGAGGTGGGCCCGTCCTCCCTCTCGAAATGCTCTCACACGGCCACGCGTATACAGCCTCTGCCAGGGAAGTCCTACTCACTGCCTTCTCGTGGCGGGGTGTTGTTTACGAAAATGAGATGACGGAAAGCTAATGTCCAGCGCTTTAACCGGATCCCCAACCAATGGTGCACATGGGCTCCGGTATCCTGCGGGAACAAATGGCGTTGGTCACCGGTAACCATGGGACTGCATCTCCTTACGGTGCCACACTGCCTTGTGGGTCAGACCTTTAGGTCGAAGGCTCGGGGTGTGGTCCCCTAAGAAAACTACCTGCTTCGGTTTGGGCACCCGGGCAGTATCACAGCCCTCACACTAAAGTGTGGCGCATATATATATTGGGTGCCCTCTTGTACCAATATTTATGTGTTCAAATAATAAAAAAGGAAGCAGAAAAGCCTAAACAGAAAACTGAGTCTTTTTTATTGGATTCAATGTTAAATAGAGAAAAAATATTTTTCAACATAATCTTGTGAAAGAAACCTAACGTAATACATTCTATATAATTATTGTGGGTCTGTTAAAACATAATAATCTAGCAAGACAGTATAATTATTAAATCACTGTTCCAACTTTAGTGTATATGTTGTAACTATCCTAACTTTATCCACTTGGCACATCCAATAAAACGAATGTAGAATATATTTAGAATGGTTTAATGAAAAATTTAATGACTTTTCTATCGGCTTGTTTGATGGGATGATATACTCCCCTTTCAGGATTTTCGAACCCGTTACAATTCCTTAGGGCGATACGATACTGATCGATAAGTAATGCGCACTGACACCCTATAAATTTACTGGTAGATTCTCACGAAATCAGATTACTATGTAAGCCTTTAGTAACCTGAATTTGAAAGACATCACAGTATATCATGAGTACAGGGTTTTCCTAACAAAATTTATGCAGAGTATTGAACCCAAAAGTGTACATGATTAAGAGTCATTTAAAACAGGTATTTGTAGAAAACATGTTTTTAAAATCTTTTAGACGTCATTGATATTACTACCTAACTGCTATTGATAGTTCTTACTTGTCATATAACCTCTAATGGTTTTCATTTCAATATTTTTTGTTCTACATTAGTCTTGTATTTCCGTAAAATAACTGATCATTTTATGTAGGTGCTCATGTATTTCAGTTACAAGCAAAGATGGATGGCGGTTAGCAGTGCAATCCGTGATGCTCGTTTCTCCCTATTTGAGACTCGTCAGCTGGATATACCTGCATCCACTCCGAGACTCGAACCCAGTACCATTCGCTCCAAACTTCATCGTGTTATTCACTTAATTACTGAGTTCTGATAACCACTATCTTGTGCAATGGGATGAAGGTTTAATTCATTTCGTATTGTTTGTTTGATACTTCACATTGATGTTTTGAACTACAATTGATCAGTCTGTTATTGGCATACGTACATCTTGTGTGGATTGCCTCGATACTGCCTTAAATCACGGATTCCACTGCCAGCCACCATCCATCTTTGTTCATAATGCCTGTGACTGAAAGCAATATCGAGTCAACCCTCACAGAATGTACATATATTAATAAGAGTCTGGTCAATTGTAGTCCTAAACATAAATGGGAAGATTCAAACAAACAGTACAAAAAGAATTTAAGTATTTCAGTTGCGTTTTAAAATTGAGCATAGATCAGACGATTCTTTTTATCCTGTCTGCCACCGCACATTTTAAAATAAATGATATTATTTGGTTTTTTAATGAATACAGCTAGTTGAAGTTATTTGATAACCATATCTTCGTAAGTCAACATTATCTGAATGTGTTTTCCTAGTTCAGTTGTTGTAATTCAATAACTGAAATATTCTTACCTATTACTATCGGACTTATCCGTTAAAACTCCTTCTCTCACCTGTTATTTTAATAATTTAATGTCTGAAATTCACTTCAGACACACTACGTAACATCTACTCTTTTTTCTTCACTTCTCCGTTTTCTTACTCCATGTTAATTTTTCATTTAGGTACCATTAATCTACAATTCGCTGATGGATCACATTATACTTGGACAAAAGTAACAACAGTTGTTCATAATTTAATTGTTGGTACGATATGGATTGATAATTATGGTGATGTAACCATAGAAAATCATAAAACTGGTTATTCATGTAACCTGCAGTTTATCGCTCATTCTTATTTTAATAGAGGACAGTCAAGACGAGTATGTCATCTTATTTGGTCTATATATATATATATATATATATATATATATATATATATATATATATATATATATATATATATTCTTCTCGTCATACCTCTTGTTGACAGGAAAGGTCTATGATGAAACCCTATTCAGAGCATCCTAGAGTTCACTCACACTATATAGTACTTTTCATTTGTCCTATCCTTTATTTACGATAAGTTGAAGTCTTTATTATGTAAAGACTTTATTGTATAATCGTATAAAAGTGAAATGTATTTCTATCGGATACAAACACAAGGATTTTATCAACAAAACTTGTAATGTTACTAAATATGCCATATATTTTGTAAAAAAATGTCATTACGTATTTAATATTTTCATAATGGAGATTTGTGGAGATTGCAGTAATTTTAATTTTGAATTCGATCTAAGCTAGACCACCAATGGAGAGCTGGAACCACTGGACGGTTGTTTCGTTTTAGTATGATACTCCTCAGTAGTGCGCATCCACGATCCCATACACGGGATTTGAATCAAGGACCTTCGGTCTCGTGCGTAATCGCTTAACCTCTATTCCATCCAGCCAGCATCCGACGGTGTTAATATCTAACTTTAATCTATCCATGATGTTGCACAACCCTTCATCCATTGTTAGTTTTTATTCTCTTAAGTTCTATACTTTTAAAATTATTCTATATTGAATAACATATATTTTTCGGTAAGAAAACTTTATCCCATCACAATTATTAAACATAATCATAGTCTACCAAAAAATATATAAAATAGTTTAGATTTTTTCACTGCAATGTATAACCTCAAAGCTTAAGCTAAATGATACTTAAAATATATAATTCACGAAGTGTTAGTGTAAAATTGTAATAATCAATAAACGTTTCTTTTAGAACACAATATTGTTTTTTGAATCTAATCGTTTGATTTTGATTTATTGTAACCAGATATTCATGGGCGTTTTTTGTTATTTACAGCTGTAAACCTACAAAATCAGCGTATCTGCTTACTATTCATTTGTTTGGTTAAACAAAGACAAATTGTTTAGATCAATAAGATTGGGGGTTTTTTGTACAATAATTTTAATATTGGGTCGTGTTAAAGATTTCTTAGTTCTTTATAAATTGAATGTTCTTCCTGATTATGTTTTCTTTTCATTAAAAAAAATCAGGTTACAGGTATTGTGAAAAATTCAACTGGTGTACCAGTTGCTGTAATTCAAGGAACGTGGGATAATTATTTAGAATATCAACGTTTATCAATCGATAAAATACCTGTCGGTGAGCCAATATTAATATGGAAAACTGATCCATTACCTTCTAATGCTTCTGATGTAAGTTTATGCTATGATTACTAAGTCATATAATTCTGGATATATAATAATAATAATGCTGGATAGTATGAATTTGTATTTAGTATAAAGTAATAAGATGATAGAAAGGGTAGGTTATTAAGTTTTGATAGATAATAAAAGTTTTGCTTTGTTCTTACGAATAATTTGCTTAATTTTTCTGTAAATCTACACATTAAATAAGAAAGATTAGTTCAGCGAAGAGTTCTCTTTTCGGCGAATTCATTTTCAAAGCTGTACAATCACAAATATATATACTTATCTACTTACTTATCTACACATTCACTGATTACTTTTATATGACAAAAAATAATAGATGGAACTGAAAGGCAATAAATACGCATCAAAATTCATTCAGTGTATTGGTTGACTTTGTTGTTGTACATGTATTAAAAGAAAGAAAATTACTACACGATTACTTCCAAAATTGTTATACATTTAATTATTTTAATCACTGAAAAATTCCCATTATAATAAAACACAATGATATGAACGAAGAAGAACGAAGAATTATTTGTTATGACAATCACATGATTCTATTAAGTAAAAAAAATTCAAATCATAGAGTTTTGGGTTTAAATTTGCTAACGATTAATCCTTTAGGTCGTCAAAATCAGTTGTATTCATTCGAATACTTCCTTGTTCTCTAGTATGTCTTACTAAATTTTACATTAAAGGGTGGACACGACTAACAGATAATGGTTTCGCTTGTTCAATTTGAAGGTTTTTAGTGTAAAGGAGACCGGCTTGAAAGCTATTTGAGGATGATAGAAGTACTGAACACACATCTAGTTTATTGCACGAATAGTAACTGTTTTAAGCATCAGTTGAAGGTAAAAATTAGCTAAATTGAAACCAAATTATTGTGATTTTTTGTCAGAGAAAGTGAAACGTATGTGAAGGACAATGATGACAACTAATAATAATAGTAATAATAATCTGCTGTTATTTCTTTCTCGAAGTTATAATTAATCAAAATGTTAGTCAACCTTTTTTTGGATTGTTATAAATTTGTTTTCTTCTAGAAAAATTGGCTACTGTAGTCTACATAGTTTGGCAAGTATCACTTGAACTTCATATTGACCTAATGAGATTTCACCACTAAAGATTTCTACCATTCTTTTATCTTCTTGATTATCACATTTTCTAATCATCTCATTTTTTAAAATGAATATTGATGTGAACTGTATTCTGGATTGTTTGAATTTTCTAACGAATATATTTCAAGCTTGAAGATGCCATATTGTCATTTATATTCAAGTTAATAGGATAAAGAAAATTACTCAACTAAGGAGATCAATAAATTGTTAATTCTTTTCAACTGCTTTGTCGGCGTCACTATTAATTAAGAAGCTAATGTGCTAACTCTGGAAGGTGTGCGTTGTATAATTAATTGATATTGTGTTTTATTTGCTAAATATGAATAGAAGAAACAAAGCAATCAATGTTGCACTAATATCAAATTTGTTGTTGAAAGTTGTTTTCCTCTCTAACCGAAATTAAGAACCTGTTAATATCATATTCAAATAACTTGAAAACGTTTTTATTGAAATAATTTCTTTTCCTACTCTAGATGTATCACTTTTCTCGATTTGCTATTGAATTAAATGAAATGGAAGATGGTGTTGCACCGACTGACTCAAGACGTAGACCTGATCAACGTCTTATGGAACAAGGATTATGGGATCAAGCAAATGAAGAAAAAAGGCGCCTTGAAGCGAAACAAAGAAATAAACGACATGCATGGGAGAAAGCAGTTAGAGAAGGTATTATTCTGATGTTGTTTTAAGGCAGAATTGTATCATTTATTATTTGCTACATCATTTACCAAATCAAACTTGATCGTCAAGCCACGGATTCTAACTTTTCCACGTCTGGGACTAATGAAACAAGGATAGGTACTTACATGTTTAAACCATCAGGTAACAACATATAACATATTAAAAATACCACAATAAGATAATTTAGCAACATGTCAACTGATTTAGTTTTAGTAAACCTTGTTGTTTCATTTCTAAATGGTATAAAATACAATATTGATAGTAAACAGTTTAATTTATAAGGATACACTTCATTGTTATAAAGTGGCTTTTTATCCACAGTCTCTTTAGCACATGTTTAATCCTATATTACAATGGAATTTTCAGATTTACGTGTTTTATTCCATTTTCTAGTCTTCTATCAGTTAACAGTTAAATGAATTAGCTATCTATCAATAGTATTTTGTTCAAAGAACTAGTTTATGACGGACCAGTTATTTAGTTTACTTTACCGCACAGTTTTCTGATCACTAATGCAGTAATATACTTAAAAAGCAATCTTATGTTTTTACTTCATAACTTGAAAACTGATTCTATTTCACTAGTTGCCTGATTTTTAGATCTCACACATATCGAATGAGATTTGTGTGGCGCATATGTATTTGGTGCCTCCTTGTACCAATATCTATGTGTTAAAATTAAAATGAATAAATAAATTTTTAGATATCACTAAGCGTTAGTATTTGGACTTTTAGTAACACTGCCTATTAATTGTCTTATAGGTTCGGAAAGATTTACTTCTTTCAAGATTCATCTATACTGGGAAAAGTAGAAAATCTTTACATATTTGTTGTTCGGGCATGAAATTATATTGTTTAGGAATTAGGATAGTGTGGATTTAATTTGACTGGCTGACCTTTGATTGAGGGATAATTGTTTATTCGGTTTTTGTATAAAGATAATCGAATTTCAGGAATATAGGTATTCAACTATTTTATCTGTCATGGAGTCACTTTAGTGTATGGTTTGATATATATATATATATATATATATATATATATATATATATATATATATATATATATATATATATATATATATATATATATATATATATATATATATATATATATTTGCCATTTTTCTTCAGGTCAAACAGATGAACCATTATTCACACCAGTTTGGTTTTCACCAAAACATGATGTCAATGGTAATGTATATCATGAATATTTAGGAAACTATTGGAAATCAAAAGAACAACAAGATTGGTTAAAATGTCCAGATATTTATTGAAAAATTTTTTTAGATCTTATTTTCAATTATTCTTGTAGAAAGTGTAAGAGATTATTTCAGTACAAAAAATTGTTTCTGTGCGTCAATAAAAACTGTTTTGCTGTCTTTCCTGTTCACCTTGATAGTTAGTGTTGGTGAATCCTATTACATTTTTAGAACATTTTTGTTTGTTTATAGTTTATGTCTTTTAGAATAAAAGATAATTCTGATCTGTAGTTTGTAATTCTTGTTATTGATATTTATAAAATAGTCCTAATTAACATTAACTTCATTCTCTGTTTCTGTTCCGTTTTGACGTTTTCATTCACGAATTATTTCCCTACTAATCTCCCACTTTGTTCTGTTTTGTCGGAATACTGTCATCTCTTCATTTCTTTATCTATCTGTCTGTATAACTGATCGAATTCTCTACGTTGGGCTTTCACTAACTTCCCTAACCATTAGCCTATTTTCGTGTTTCTTTTTGAACTACTGATTTATTGTAATAAGTAGGATGTTTGTGTATAAGTGCATTGTCGTGTACTTTATTGTAAATAAATGCGTATATGGCTTTGATGATTCCATTTTTTGAACCTCCGCACCTACTCGACTTTTATTATAGTAATATTATTTTAACTATAATCAGAATATCGACTTCATTAACATTTATAAAAATTTTTGCTAAAAAGTTGCCATATGGGACTTCGTCGAAAGTCTTAAAGCCTGATGATGATAATCTTTAGCATGAACCATTGATGACGTCATAATTATCACATTTTATTTTCACATGACTTTTGTTATAAGAGATAATGTCAACAAGTGTCAACCACTGTTTATTTTATTTAACACCATTACTATTAGGGAGAATAAATTGTTCACTGTGACGATGATAACTATGATTGTTTACTTGTTCTTGTTTAATTTTGCTAATTTATAAACATATATACTTTTCTTTGTCATTTTCGCCACTTAGATGACCAAGATGGTTTTGGTGTTGTTCTTTTATTTTGTTAAGTGATTTTTTTTACCCTTTCTCTTCATAACCATTATTTTACATTTCAGTGCTGTTTTCATCCTTTTTCTGCCTTATTTTTATTGCATCAATTGTGTTATTGTGTATTCGTCTCATATGATCAATTGTTAACTTCACTGATTACCAACATACTGTTTTGATGATTTGTGCAAATATATATGTATTAAATCTTATAAAGTCTTTACTGTTTCTTGAAATTCTGTACAATAAAAAGTTGACAAAGGAGAATAGGAGACATTTACAAGTTTGTTTACGAATGTAGGTATATAGATAATTTAGTTTGTTGACTTAATGCTGTTTAGATGCAGTTTGTATTTGTCATTTAGTTCACTTATGGATTATTTTCTCTCTTTTTTTTACCAACACTAAATTGTTGATTCTTCCAATTAACTTTTACAACTAAATTTGCTCATTTATACGTGTAAAGATGTATTTAGAAAAGAATGTATTTTGAAAGTGAAAACTCCACCTTTTTCTTTCTATAAAATATACTTATACATATACTACTTAATTTTCTGTTATATTTTGCTGTATGAACAACCCGTTCTGTTTATGAATTTCTGTATTACTTATTCTACTGACTTTGAATTATATTGTGCATAATTTACATCTTTCATCAATATGTTTTCTGCTTATTTCTTCGGTTATTTTTCTCTCTTTAGTTTGTTTTTATTTTAACAGCCTGATTGCCAAGATTGAATTCAGTTTATATTGTGTTTTTTTTCTATAAACAAAATTGTTTTTTTATTCTGATAAAAAGAATCAGAATTATTTGAATACGATTTTATATTTTCTGTACTAACTACCAGTTACGAATAGATAGGTAGGTGTGCATAATTATGATGTACTAGGTACAACATATTGACGGCAACCATAATTGATGAATATCAGATATGTAGCGCATCCATGTGTTTGTCAAGTCCATATTCAAAATGTTTAGAGCGACCATGGATGTTTACATAGTTTATTGCAAATTGAGTTTAACAATTTAGCTAAACATTTTGCTAAGTCATGGAATTCGTTAAATATCCAAAATCTCTGACTACCTAGCTGTTTCTCACATTCATAGAGTTTCTTACTTTAGAAAAGTAATTTGAAATCGGAAAATACAAGAGACCGCATACATATGTATGTATTGGTGCCTCCTTTCACCAATATCTATGTGTTCAAGTGAATAATAATAAATAAATCGGAAAATGCTGTTTCTTTTTTACAATTATCATTTTGAAAGTAATTTAGTTAATTTTATATAACTAGAAGTTATAATGAAGTAAAGAATGTTATGCAATAAACTGTGTGATACTTCATAGTACATATTTCACATATTTTTTTCTACCTAATTAAATCTTTGAATAAATAAAAGAAAAAAAATTAGGTAATAAATAATTAAAGGTGTCCTTTTTTATTTATTATCGATTTTACCTTAATATAATGAACTAATACTAGTATTTTCACAAATTGAAATCATGAGTCAGTTGAAACTAGACCACCATAGAAAACCTGAGAGCATTGGACGGCCGTTTCGTCCTAGTATGGGACTCCTCAGCAGTGCGCATCCGCGAACCCGCACCCCGCGAGGTTCGAACCCAGGACCTATCAGTCTCGCGCCAAGCGCTTAACCAACTAGACCACTGATCCGGCATACAATGGTGTTAATGTCTAACTCCAACCAATCCACGAAGTTGCGCCACCGTATACCATCGTCTCCAGTGAGCTGATATATCACAACAGACCTGGTTGAACTCCACTGGTAACGGCTTGTCACTAGAACTCCAGGAGTATCTCTTGAATTCAGTCGCTAGTGAGTAGGTGATTATTATCAGAAGGGATTTGTGGAGATTTTAGAAATTTCACAGATTGAAGCTAGACCACCATGGAAAACCTGAAAGCACTGGACGGCCGTTTCATCCTAGTATGGGACCCCTCAGCAGTGTGCATCCACGATCCCGCACCCCGCGAGATTCGGACCCAGGACCTATCAGTCTCGCGCCAAGCGCTTAACCAACTAGACCACTGTATATGTTTTTTTCGGCTGACATTCACTCTATGTATTTTAAAACAAAACACATCTACTTATATTTTCCAATAGAAAATAATCATCATTTCAATAATTTCGATAAAACAATACAAATAAATAAAAGTCAATGTATGTTTATATTTATATACACGTATAAAGCGTCGTTTTGAAAAAAATTGTTTGTTTCTACATTTTTATTGAGTTGTTCAGTTGATTGAATCTTAATCTTTTGCAATATGATTTATGATTTAAAGATTTATTCAATTGAATTAGACAGCTATTCATTTATGTACATGGTGTTCAACGATTTCGCATGATCCTGATGTGTATTTTTCTTTGTTTCGTGGAAATCAGCGGTATAAAAAAGTGATGATAGACAGAAAGTCTCTCTGAGAAGGAACAAGGAAATTATTGTTAATGGTATTGAATTAGTCACATAAGGAATGTAAATGTAAAATGACAAGTGGTATGTAGATTCAACTAGATGTCTACAAAATGAATTCATACATTTAGCAATAATTCAAGAAAGGAATCAATCATCGTTTTAATAATGCAGTCAATCGACTGCATTCACTCTAAATCTGGTGTTCCATATCCAAGTCGAGCTAGTGCGATATTTAATCGATGCCGTTGAATTGTACGGAATTGTTGTTCTTGTATCTCAACTTCCTGTGTGATAGCTTCTTTACCATTATTGTGACAATTATTACGATTCTTTATATTGATGAAGTGATTATTATTCTTTCTATTTATACTAATCGGACTAGAATCTAGACCACGTTTTATTATACTTAAGTATTGAAATAGATTGACAATTGCAACTAGTCTGTCTCTTGCTGGTAATGATATTTTACAATCGATTTCATTGGAATCAGGTGTCTAATGTAGGAAATAGAAAAAAACATAAAATGTCATATATCAGCTTTTTAAAGGTAAACATTAAGTTATCTGTAAATTATTACTGTAGTATAAGCAACATAAAAGGATTTCTAAAATAAGCATTCGAAAGGATAGATTCAAGAGAGATGCTGTTGTACTCTGGTCATGAGGAAGAAAATGCTCTACACACTCAGGGAGTTGCTCTGATGCTGTCCAAAGGATCAAGTAATGAGACGCATTCCAAATAAGGACGGGAGTCTGACAATACTGCTTACTCTCCCACTTTCTTTTTCTTCTGGTGCTCGACTGGATTATGAAGACCTCGACATCTGAGGGAAAACACTGAATACAATGGACAGGTTGGATGCAACTACACGATTTGGACTTTGCAGATGACCTAGTTCTTCTACCCCATACACACCGACATATATATATATATATATAATTGACTGAGCATCTGAGTGCTTCAGTAGAGTCGCCGTCGATAAAAATGTGGTTTCTAGATTTGAGATATTTCTTTTTAATTACTGACATAGAATGTGTAACCTAGATCATGTGACTTAAACCAAACATCCAGTAACATATATTATGATATGTTTCAAATTATGAAAAATGACGCTACTAATACTTATCTTTGATGAATCTCTAAATCAATCAGGTCGGTAGATTACTGAGAAAATAATTTCTTAACAATTTAACTTACTCTGATTTTCATACGAAACATAGCTTCATATTTTGGCATTAATGAGCAGTATTCATGAACAACTTTTACTGTTTTATCACCACCATTTATGTCGTTATTCCAGCGTAAACCACCGCCTAATTCCGGTGTAATTGGTGTAATTTCTAAACCTAATTCTGGCAATGCTTGATAAATTGAAGAGATAAGTTTTTTATCAATAAATTCAAAACAAGGTTTTATATCTTGCAAATATAAACGATATATAAATTTTGATAAAGATTTATCCAATGGAAAATAATTTGAATTGAATGATGATTTTGTTTTAACACAGTTTATGATTATTGGTGAAAAATATTTATCATCAATTTTAACTTGTGAATCATTATGATTGTTTATTGAATCATTTGAAATTTCTTTAATAATGTCATGATTATTTGATTCAGTTGAATTTTTTAATAGAACATCAGTTGTTTTGATTATATGAACAGAATGATTAGACTCTTGACTTTTAGCATTATTATCATAGTTATTATTACTAGTTGGAATGTTTTCCATATCATTCACAGAGTTGTGTACATCAAAACTATTGGATAAAGTGAAATGATTATTCCTTTCATTATTATTATTATTATTAATATTAATGTTTTCATTTGTCTGATTATTAGTAACTGTTTTGTCTAATATTTGATCAGGTATATTAATCTTACTCACTCGTCCATTGATTTCTTTTCTAGTATATTCTTTTATCTCTCCTTTCTTTGTGTTTTCTTGATGACATAATAATTGTTCATTTAATTCTGTAAATGCTATCATAGGTAAATTTAATGGACAATCATTTTGTATCCATTCTAGAAATTCCTATGAAACAAAGAAAATACAGCAATTAATATGCCAATATACACTGAAATAATAGTTATTATTCATGATAATCATTACATTATTGTAAAGAGAAAGAATAATATCACTAGCATTGACTTTTGAATAATTGCATTTTACGAGTACTTAGAGTAATTTGTAATTACTAGTGACTGGGATGCTTTTAATTAGAAATTCGATCTACACGGCCAATTAACTCACAAAACCCTTTGACAGGTACCTACAATAAGATGAAACAGGCAAAAAACAGGTGTCCAGGAAAACCTTGATATTCAAGAAGCCCATTTTAAAGTAAAATGAAATATAGCGACAAAACATTACCTTAATGTATGTGATTAAACTAGCACATTAAGAGTTAGAAATTAATCAAACAGCCAAAGTTAATACGGATGTATAGACTGAAAGAAAATTATCGCAGTTATCTTTACAGAAACTGACTACTATATATTAACAGAAAACTGGATTACCAGTTAAATAAGTCCATTTGTTTAAGCTGTAATTTTAATTTATCAACCTTGTTATTTAAAACAATCTAGTACCATACTGTTTAATCGTATACCACCGACTTTGACCGAATCTATGTGAAACCCTTAATTATTAAGCGTAGGTTAAAATAGCAGATGGTAGATGATAGATATGTAAAATTATTGATTATCATAGACCTTGTAGCTAACACGTATAAAATAAATGATGTACTTTTGAACCTTCAACCGAATAACTGGCAAATGTATTTTCAAGTAGTTAGATGATGATACGTACGCAGATACGTGTATAAATCGTCTTGTAGGTTTTATATAATTCATATGGAAGTTTCTTATCGCTATAATAATAAGTATAGGGTTGTGGAGAGTATTAAGTTATTGATTGAGATTATGAACCAATCGATTTTAGACCATCATTTAAAACCTGGAAGCATTGGACGGTCGCTTCGTCCTACTATGGGACTCCTCAGTATTTAGCGTTCACGATCCCGCTAGCGGGATCGCGCGCGAACGCTCAACATACTACGCCACTGAGCCAACATCCAACGGTGTTAATGTCTAACCTCAACTAATCCACGAAACCGCGATCATCTTCCATTGTAATGAGGTAAATACCTGTCTCTACCCGACACAGATTAGCTCCATTGATCACGGCTTCTCACTAGGACTCCAAGAATTCCCTCACGAAGCTAGTCACTAATGAGCACATGGTTATTATTAGTATAGGATTGTGAAGATTATTAAGTTCTCGATTGAGATCATGAACCCATTGGTGTTAGATGCTGAGGAGTCCCACAATAGTACGAAACGACTGTCCAGTGCTTCCAGGTTTTCAATGGTGGTCTAACATCAATCACTTCATAATCTCGATCAACAATAATAAGTGACAAAAGAATAGTTCATGTTAGAAGGATATGAATTCATAACATACTGTTGTATATGTTAAATTTTTATGAGGGAATATTTTAATTTTAGACAGGATGTTATCAACAGTACTTTTCTACATCAATATTAAAAATGCCAAAATAATTCAAGATTCTTGAAACTGTATTGATAAGCATGTATCTGACTTTTTCCATATATTTCTTAACCATGATACGTTGGAGAGAAGTGAAGGCCTTACTGTTCATACAACTTTCACCAGTTGTCTAAATAAGCACATTTAATCTGTTTAAATTTCACAGCATTAGTCACACATACAAATAAGTCTTACTGTTTCGCATAACAAACATCAGATTTCTTTCACTCATTCAAATAGATATCTCACCTTTGACGTAAATGGCATGATACCAATACTATCTGTTTTGTTTTTATTGTGCCAAATATTTTGATTTGTTGCTCTGTTCTATTTAAACTCATGCTAGCTAAAATCCATAACCACTAATAATTTGTGGAGTTATTTATTGGTATTTTATTAATAAAAACTAGTTTATTACTGAGTAACAAAATCATGTGTTTTACAGCTGATAATTTCCTATAAAAGAACAGATTACTAACCAGAACTGTGATAAATCACTTGTTATATATAATTAATATAGAAAATTCAATGTGATGATTCTGATGACTGTTACAGTTTGAAAACATGTAATGAATACATCATTTTTAGTGTATGGTGAAAATGTAGTCTAGTTTTACGACATAAATATGATACAAATATCACAACTTAATATTATGTTTTATGACAGTATATATTGGTTCTTGATCAAGCATAGGAATCTTAGTACAGAGGAGATGATGTGGGAGATTAATAATTGTGAAAAGGTGATATTTTGATTTCTTCAAAAGTAATTCTCTATTATATAATGTAATCCAGAGTATATCATTACTCGTATATTGAATGCATATTGGTTATTTGGCCATCATCATCATTTAAATAACGATTTGTATTTAAAAAATAAGTTAATTTTACTATCGCTATTTGAACAGTACGATCTACCAGTAATTATTGAAAGAGATAAATGCACTTATATAATTGTTTATCAACTTATATCAGTAAAAAACCATGTAATAATAACAAATGTCTTGATGCTGTTTTAAGAACTCGTAGTAGTGATTCATCATGGGATTAGACGATGAGACGAAAAAATTATCCAGTACTTTTTTGGATCAGTTCTGTAAGTGATGTAAGTTTGTATTGCAGAATGTCTAAAAAGTGTTTTATTATTCAAATTATCAAATAATAATGATTTCACTTCCGCATTTTGCAAATTATTAGTTCATTCCAAAATGATAACACTTAAGAACTATTGGTAAATATCAACGGTATTCAGAACAAAATATTTTTAACAGTTGAATTCATGAGTCGATATAAGCTAGACCAACGTTGAAAACCTGGAAGCGGTGGACGGCCATTTTGTCCTAGTAAGGTACTCAGCAGTGCGCACCCACGACCCACATGCGTGATTCAAACCCAGGATCTTCGGTCTCGCGCACTAACGCTTAACCTCTAGACCACTGGGCCGGCATCCGACGGTGTTAATATCTAACTTCAATCTCTCAACGATCTTGCGTAATCCTTCATCCATTCTCTAATGTGGATAACTGTTTCCACCAAACACGGATCGGACTCCACCGATCACGGCTTCTCACTAGAACTCCCCTTACTAATAATAATCATATGCCTACTAGTGACTAGCTTTATGATGGAACTCCTGGAGCTCTAATGAGAAGTCGTTACCAGTGGGTCCAATCCGTGTCTGGTGTGAGACAGTTATATTTAGTTTCAGTACTGATTATAATGTAGACAATCACAAAAATACAAAATGAAGCAGATACAGTTTTGACTTTACTTTGGAATTATTAAACAGTTTAAACAAAGTGAATTATAAACATTCAAGAGAACCAATAAGTTATTAAAGTTTATTGTAAAACTTATAACTGAACTTGAGAATAAATAATCGTAAGAAAAAGTAGGTATTAATAAGAGAAGAAATTATCCACCTACTTCAAATGTATCAACATCTAAATTATTTTTACATGGTCTGTGTGTAATCATTGCTGTTAAGAGATCACGTCGATTAAATTGTTCTAGTCCACCATATTTAGCATTATTTCGTCTCAGTTCCAAAAGATTACCTGTACCCAATTTACGATGAATTTCAGGTGATTTATTACAAGCTATATTATCGTATTTCATCCTGTATGGCAAAAAATGCAAAAAAGATCTAACTAATTATACGGTGACAAAATATTAATTGGAAATTTATATTGAGGTGTTGTTTTTTCAGGGTGAAATGCACCCTAACTCTAAGATTTCATATCATTTCTTCATGAGCTTTCTTCTTTTAGAAAATTTTCATCAGTAATCTTTTAAAATTTTTGGTTTCTGTCCTGTTGCAATCTAAATTTTATTTTACATTAGTCATTTGCCGTGTATTGTATCACGTATTGTGATGCAGTATAAATCCAGTTAGTTCTAGTTCCTGACAATTCCGTACACTTCCTAGATTAAACCGGTTGTATAATCAAATACACTTGACAGCTCAGTTAAAAAATTTGACAAGAAATGTTTTGGGGATAGATATATTTCAGACGTTAACCCGTTAGGCCACACATATAAATTACAAAGATTGCAAGAAATATGCATCATGTTATGTAACGATCATATTGTATAGCGTGTGTGTGGATTGACATAATAATCAACTGCGCGCCACTTCGTTTCTCTTCTCTCCCTTCACTTCTCCTTGATTATCTGTTCAGATCAATGAGTGTACGAAATATACGTGTTCGAAATTCATCCTCATATTTAGTTGTTTTATTCGATTATTCTCTCATTCGAATTATATCTACAAAAATATACAAGGATTGGCGACACGTATATTTCAATAACAATCATCATACGATCTGACTGGTGTCAGATATCGGGCCAGAAGAGTATATATATAACAACCTTATTTGTTTTAAATATGACGCTGTACATGAATTTTCTTGATGTCTGTTTATATTCAGTCGTATCCTAAACATAACCATTATCATCATTGGTGGTAATGCGTTTGTAATCTATTCAAAACTAACATCACACTATTCATGTGATCTATGAATAATTTTATAACCGAACATGATTTTCTCCTCCTTACTATTTCTTATCATTTTACAGTTTCGCACTTCAAATTCATCTCTTCGATTTCTGTAAACTAGTACATTTGTCTCATTTGATAAATGTGCTTTAATAACATTGTTCTTATTGCGATATCGTGTTAATATCCAAGTGATCGATAGGTTGACTGACTGTTGTGTGGTTAATGAGTATGGGCTTTTTTGACAGGAGAGTTACGTTCACTTTACCAAGGTTTGTAAACATTTGGTTCATGAAAAGTCTGGATGCTTACTGGATACACCTGGATCCCAGTGTTGATGTTTGAACTGTTACTCAAACCCAGCACCTGTTACTACAAACTCTAACCAGTTATCCACTGAGCTACAAAGTCTAGCTGGACAGTGACTTGTTCAAGAGGTAGGAAGTAAGTTGCATCCTGCTGACAAGTTTTAAACAGTATGAAACTCATGTTCTGCATTCCAACACCAGCCACAATCCAGCTTTAATGAGTTCTGTTTCCACCAAATTTAGCTAATAACTAACGAGAAGATATAGTTCGTGTTTTACTCAGCCCACTAACTTTGTACAATACTAATCAACTGTGTCATATAAATTGATAATTCCCCAGGCAATATCAGTTCACTATAATTGACACAACTATTACCTATAAAAACACGTGATAGGTTAATATTCAGTCTTATTGTCTTTTATGGATAGCACAAACAGTTTTCATAACCAGAAAATTACTACTAATTTTGAAGAGCTTATTAAATATGATTCTTAACTGGCTTGTAAGTGAGCCCAAATGAGTAGGCTCACACTAGAATGAAATGTCTGTCTAAACCTTCCTATTTGTCTAACTGGGATCAATCCATAATATAAACTATCATGATTATTTAATCACTTATTTTTCTATAATCATCATAATTACTATATTTTTTTATACCGCTTGATTACTTCATTGATTTGCACTATGAGCCAATGTTTCGTTCCTTGTTTTAGTATTAAAGGTTTTCAACTTAAATACTAAACAAAAAAAATATTATAACGAATGGAATAATACCAATAGTAGTTTGTGTTAATATTATCAACAGTGTTAACCACAAATGTGACTTGTGATGGATGTTAATTGGATTTATTTTTCCAGTTATGTACTTTATTCTAAGTTTCAAAGGTTGTTAGACAAACATACCTGCCTATGTACTTGCGATCATTTTCGATTTTTTTCTATCTTTTGTACTAAGTACTCATTACCATAATAATAATAATAATAATAATAATAATAATAATAATAATAATACCACTACTAAAACTAACAGTAATAATGATACTATTGATTTGATTATTGATTCATATACGCGATGAAAAATTTGGTGACAATGGGTCATTAGACATATATTTATCCATAGCTATAACAACATATAACAATATTCTAAGAGTAAATAATATTTTTAACATGAAGTAATCTAATCTAAATTATAGTACTATCTAATAAGATTTTATAATTTTTTATCAAACAATCTAGACATTCAGTTCCGTAATATCGACAACATCAAGAATGTGTACTTTCATTGTTGCAATTCTACTCATTTAGCAGAATTTGTATTAGAACCATGGAATTTAATAACATGGGCATCACATTTCTTATGATTAGTTTTTTTTTTAAAAAAAAACTACATTTTAGTTGTGATATGATAACTTTAATTGATACCTATTGAACAGCTTAACTAAAGGTCATTTAATAAGCAAAAATTACCTTGAAAGTTATTGTATAAACATTACTTTTTTATCTACTGATAGGTATCGAGGAAAATAAATTTTAGTTAAATATAGTTATATGGATATTTAAAGTGTCAACATCAGTCAGTCAGCTACAACGCAGGACCAGACACATATATGCATAGGTCCAAGTTGCCATGCCTCATTAACAAAACAAGATGAACACTGAATTCATAGGAGTGGTTAGGTCAAAGGTGGTAATATATAGGAGAAAGATTGCATATAAGGATACAGTACAGGAAGAAAGAATTAGTTAGTAGAAAGAAAGATATGAAATGATTTTAATCTCTTAGTTTAAGGGAAGACAGGGAGTGTGTGCACCGACGCCATTGTGATCGATTCTGAGCCATGTCACCAATAGTCTCCAACCATTGGTTACGATAGTCATGCGGACCCCAACCAAGTAGTCTGAATCTACCAACATGGCTCAGACTAGAAGTTAATGTCTTCAAGCACTGATGCCACGTTTTGGTCTGGCCGCCCCTAACTTTCTTCCAAACATCCCCAACACCGGTTAGCATTACATGTCATGGTAATCGGTGTTCAGGCATACGTGACACGTGGCCTAACCATCTCAGTCGATGATGATTCACAACCTCATCAACTGATTTACCGTCATTCCCTGATACCCTGCGTCTAACATCACTATTATTTGCCCAGTGATCCCAGCAGATGGGAGTAATATTTCTAAGGCATCTTTGATCAAATACTAGTAGCTTACGAGTATCTTCTACTCTTAATGGCCATGTTTCGCTGCCGTAAATTAAAACAGAACGAACTTCCGCGCAGTATACTCGTTTAATTGATCGAAGGATAACTCGCCTTCGCCATAGGTGACGTAAGTTGGCAAAAGCCAAACGAGCTTTTCGAATCCGTGCTGAGATTTCGTCAGACACCAACCCATTAGGGCTGATCAGACTTCCAAGATGAGTGAAGTTGTCGACGTGTTCGACTACTTCACTCCCTATCCTTAGTTCAGGTGTCGACACAGGCCAGTCTTGAAGCAACATCTTGCACTTAGAGGGGGGAAACGCATCCCAAACATTCTGTTAATGTTGCTGAGTGTTACCAAACGCCTGCATTTAATCAGCGTCTTCATCAAACAGGACTATATCATCTGCGTATTCGAAGTCAATAAATGAACCTCCTGGGATGAGAATAATTCCTGAAAATTCAGACGACGTGAACGTTATTTCCATCAGTAGGCCTTTGATGAAATTGAGCAAAAATGGAGACAGTGAACAGTCTTACCGGACACCAATTGAGGTTGCGAAATCAGATGACAGTTCGCCATAAGTTTTGACTCGACTGGTAGTGTTCGAGTAAAGGGCTTTCACAAGGTTTATGTACTTCTGAGGCACGCCTTTCAATGACAGACACTGCCACAAAATCTCGCGGTCTACGGATTCAAATGCTGCTTCTAAGTCTAGAAGGACCACCATTGTCGGTCGCCGATAAGCAGGCCTGTGTTCTAGTATCTGACGAATGGTGAATATGTGGTCGATGCAGCCACGACTAGGTCTGTAGCCAGCCTGATTTTTCGTGTTTGCAGTTCACGAGTCTTAGTTAGGCGCCCGATAATTATTGATGCTAGTATTTTAGATGATATGTTAGTCAAACTAATCCCTTTATGATTATCACAGGATGATTTTGATCCTCTCTTATATATTGGGACAATCAGTGATTGTGACCAGTCAGATGAGATTGCGTCCAACTCCCAGATTTTAGCTAAAATATTAGTCAACCTAATCGCTAAAATTGGACCACCATCCTTAAAGACCTCTGGAGCCAATCCATCTGAACCAGCTGCTCTTCTCCCTTTCAGATTAGCTGTAGCTTTCTGAACTTCAGCTAGCGTCGGGAGACCTACTTCAATATTCCATTCACGCTGTCTGGAAATTTTGGGTACCTCTAGAGTAGCTGAAGGCCATCTGAACTGGTCCTCAGAATGTTCCGTTCTAAACGTCTAGTCCTGGAGCAGATGAGAGTGTCGTCTTTTTCCGAAATAGTCTCACACTTAACTTATTAATTCGTTTCTTTTATTAGTCTGTAGAGCCGTCTAATGTTACTTACAGCCAACGCCTTTTCCATCTCTTTTGCTTTCGTTGACCACTACAGCTCACGGTCGTTCCTTAGACTTCTGCTTAATCTAGATCTGATTTGTTTTCGCTCTTCATTGTGTTCAGAGACTGATGGGATGAGTTTACGAGAATCCATCAGCGCAACAGACGTAAAAGAATACCATTGGTATTTTGTAACTCTGGTTTAAATCACAAACAGATGTCACTGCTATTTCCACAGCTGTTTGTATATCCTTCCAAGCAACATCTACGTAAGCTTCGTTTTCAGAACTACCTAAGTGTGATCTCAGTTGTTCCTGGAACCTACTTTTGGTTTTCTCATTACTCAGTTCAATTCTGATGGGTCTATTTAGTTTGGTTTTTCTGCACCCAGTAAGGCGCAAGCAGATGCGTGCCCGTATTAGAGCATGGTCGGAGTTCAAGCAGGTATTCCAGAATGAGCGACAATCTTCTATCGATCCTCTCCAACGATGACTGATGGCAATATGGTCTATTTGAGTTCATCGTTGGTTTTGGTGCGAGTGGTCGCCATGTTACACAATGTCTCTCCTTATACTTAAAATTAGTGCTTGCTAAACACAAACGATTGTCTGAGCACAGTTGCAGCAGACGATCACCATTACCTGTTCGCTGAACCGGAACACTATACTGCCCATCTAAATGTCTTTCTGTTTGGTTTAAGCCACCTACTTAAGCATCAAAGTCACCTGCTACGAGTACTATGTCTGAGCGTTTAGCTTTCTGAAGAAGTTCAGAGAGCTTTCTGTAAAAGTCATCTTTCACTTCATCCGGACTGCAGTGAGTGGGAGCGCAGGCAGAAACGACGAAAAGGCAACAACGTGTGTCCTTATCCTTCCGAGTTCTCACAAAGTTATTTAGCCGAACAGCACATAGGTGATTGTTATCAGGGATCCATTCTAATAGTGTTTGTTCTGCCCTCATACTGAGTGCTATCCCTACACCCACCAGACCACGGGAACTAGCCATCGGGTCACCAGATACACTGAGGGTGTATCTCATCGGGTCTCTGTTTCGGCGAGGTGAAGTCAAGTAAATGACCACACTAGGATCCTGTGTGTGTGTTTTGGAGACACAGCATACATCAATGGTACGAGATTGTAGGGTTTTAGCAAAGGAGGCCTGCTGACCGATTTGACATACGGTGTGTACGTTGAAGGCTCCAATGTGTAGTTTGGAGCGAGGTTTCAATAGATCTGGGACAGTGTTTTGCGCACTAGAATTGTTGGCCATGGTGACAATTGAGGAGGAATTCAAAATAGTTGAAAGTCGACGTAGGAGGAATGATAGGAATTGAAGAGAGAGATTGATTATGAATACAGTGGTCTTGAGTGCTGTTAGAGGTATGAGGACAGTTATCACTTCCCGGTTTCCAACACCGTGGAAGGGTTCTTCAGGAAGTACCTGAAAAGGAAATTGGATTAGAGGTGGTCTTAGAGACCTGAGAGTGTGACCGCAGTGCCCCTGTTACAACTGATGAAGTCGGTCACACACGACCTTTTTGTGAGTAATTTTCGTTATGCTCCGTATTTGTTGAGACCTTACCACCGGAGACGGATATCCGTAGGATAAGGCGAGGTGTGCATTTTTAGGGTCGACCTTTCTAACCCCACCCCTCTTTGTATGAAAGCAACATCGCTGTTATTCCGATTGGCTAATGGAAACTCCTTACTGCTGTCTCACCTTTGTACAGTCAGTAGTACAACTTCGCCTTCGGACCTTGGGTTTGTTGCTTTTAGTCTTACCGCTCTTCAACCGACCTGTCTGGCTCGTTGGGACCTTGAGAAACGATTGTTCCAGCCATTATATATCGATTGGTTCATTACGATAGGTAAGTCGGACCACCACGTCAAGGTAGCAGCAACGGTTGGGAAGTGTCAAGACACCTGGATAATTATTAGTAAAAGAAGTTTATGGAACGCTTCAATAATACAAACCCAGTATGCCACTAAATATTAAACTTTCAGACTTTTCGTGAATTATGCTACTTTTGAACCATTGATTTGAGATCTAATGATTTATACTTCTAACTTTCGTTTATTCTCATTATTTTTTCCGTTATCATAGGTTTATACTGAGAGTAAATAGATGTATACACTTTACACCTAACATTCTAATCACAAACAGGTGAGACGATTTCTCATCAGTCCGTACGCACTGCTCCATATTAAACGTGTCGAATCAATCATATTCAAGCTATGTGGTATGTTACACCTAGAACAATGAGGCAAACACAACGGCACGGATTCCTAACTTATATTAAGTTGTCATACTACTCTATTCTCACATAAGATGATCATCAGTTCACGGTGAAAATTAATTTTAAATT